ATCTTGCAGCTTGATTCTGTACCCTTTCCAATGTAGCTATGTAGAATTCATGGTCGTCTCAGCAGACAAATTTGTTACTTACCAACACTATCTTATTACACAGATCCAAGAGGTGGTTGAAGCCATGTTGGCGGTTCGGTGTGTACATCCCGAGGCCTCCGACGTCCTGTTCCACCGTGACTACGAGACGGTGCACGGGGCAGTGTGGGGCACCCTGGCCCGGGACACGGAGCCTTACTGCGGGCGGACTTCCCTCCGTCTGCCCGCCCACCTCTTTCGTTACGACCGTGTTAAAAACCGGGTGGATGGGAAACTCATCCCCATGTTCAACGTAGAGGACTACCCGGCGGTAAGGCTTTTTTTTCTGTTATGTGTGATAAATCAACTCAGCTCACAGTTCTAAGTGTGGATGGTGTATTTTGATCGAAGATAAAAGTTAAAAGCCCTTGTCAAGCAACATTTTGCTACACGTGCTACATGTGGATACTGTAATATAAAACTCAGTGTGAGCTTACCCATTACCTAAAGAACATTTCTCAATTGAAATCTAATACAAACCTGTCTGTACTTTCTAAATGCTACATGCACTTGTCTACATTTTTTGCACACACACACACATACACACACACACACACACACACACGCATGCACAAACACATGCACACACAAACACACACACACATGCACACACACACACACACACACACACACACACACACACACACACACACACACACACACACACACCACCACCACCACCACCACCACCATCATATACATGTGTGTAATGCTATACCACCTTCTGTGTGCCACAGGTATGTCTTGCCTACAAGGGCGATATAGCTAGAAACCTCGCTGTCCAGCTCTGGTACCACAATAGGTTTGTCGATGACATCAGAACAGCGTGGAGGCACTACCCCATCTTCTCTGAATCTGCAGGCGACGAAAGGTAATTTTGCCTTGAACAATCGATAGATTTGGTAACATACACTATGGTAATCAAGGAAATTAACATAACCATTTATATGTCTATCTGTTGTTAGGAAAACACTGCCGAATCCTATCGTTTGTTAGACACTGTAAAATTTCGTATGGTCAGATTTTTTTACCATGGTTTGAGCGTAATAAATGAGCATTGCTGATGTTAATAAATTATTTGCATAAAGTCAATTAAAATGTTATTTGTTCAACCACAGATGGCAGTACACCTGTGCGGATCTCCGGAATCTCACACAGGACGATCCGTTTTTCGCCGACCGGAAGAAGCCGGGAACGAGACTGTACGTTTTGGGGATTCACATTAGCGTCATTTCCGGCCAGGATGCCTATATTGATGAATTTTTCATCGCAGCCAGTCCAGTTTTTGGTAAGTAATAACTATCATCATCTAGTGTTTAGTGGACACAGGGAATAGTATTATTGTGCAGTTACCACTCAGATAAATGATACCTTGTACGATAATTTGCATCATAATAATATTTAAGGGACGAATGTATTGTTTTGGATCCTCTTATTCGCTACCGTAACGTGTCAGTATGTATCTTGTCCTGAGCAGCAATGGTAGAAGGTAAGTGGGACGACATTTAGTTTCAATTGATTGACAGGGTTGTGACCCAGTATGCCTTGGGTGTAGGGTTGCGTTTGTCAGGAATGTTGTGTTATGTTAATTTGGTATGACACATAAACCTTGGTGTTATACTAGCTTGAATTTCTTGGTGAAATTTGAAAACAAAATTAAATTCCTTTTTTTTTTTTTTTGTATTTCAGTCGACCAGTCGAACGCCATAGTACCGGCTCGTCCTGGCGGGAATATCATCAAAGACGTCACCGTGACACAGACGGAACCGGAAGTGTTCACCTTGACCTTTACCCCCGCCGGATGTGCCGGCGCCATCCCCCTGCTCGCTATGGCCGACATGACCCCAACTGCTGGTGACGTCAGCGCTGGAAGTGATGTCGTCATCTACGCAGACGCAGTGGATGGTCCGACGTGGGTTGTCATGGTGATGAGGCGAGAACGTGCCACTCGGGGAGTAGGGGGTGACTTCAGTATAGGACACAACGGGCGTAATGTAACAGGTATGTGCCAAGGACGAAATGGTATCGTCTATCCTTAAAATTCTGCGTCTAAGGTATTAGTAGCTAAATGGTATCGTCAACCTTCATTATTACTATCCTTTAACCTATCAAATAATTTTGGTACAGAAGTATTGATTTGAGTGGCTGACCTGTTGGTTTGTTTGTTTATACTAGCTGTTCATCGTGGGTGGGAGGTGATTTTAACATATGGTTGATAGGAGGGTCAATTCTGAAGGTGACCCTGCACTTCTCCCATGGGGTGGTGTAATACCCGATTAAATGACATCATACAATCCCATCCAGTAACAGTTTTAATGTATTCATTCAATAACAAGCATGAAATACTTTTCTGGTATATTTCAGTCAGCGCAAAGGTCAGTGCTAACGATCTACAGACCTTACTTCTGGACACGTACCCAGAGTTACAGGATTACCGCCTGCGCGTGGACAAACAGGGCAACTGCACAAGTCCGGAGTGGACCTTAACCTTCGCAAGGGGTCCATGTGACGCCCCTGACTTCCAGGTATATGTATAACTTAAATCACTTTGTTCACTTTGTTTAAAAGCACTGGAACTTAATTTTCCGTCAAGTACAATGTTTTAGATGTTTGTGATTGCTTATTATGTACATCGTAAGAATAAAATATACGCATACAGATTTTTCGGCCCCGGGAAAACTTGAAACACCGTCATCTTTGTCACTTATATCTAAATATGTTTCACTTTACTCAATTTAATTTTCTTTGAAGGTGTCGAACGTGTCACTTACTGGTGATGACCCGGAAGTGATTAATTACATCATCGACGGCGGGGTCATCTTGTCACCCATACCAGGGGACATGTTGGCTACGCCGCACTTGGAGCCACAGGTGCGTTAAGTATTTCAAACAATATTATAATGATTCATGATAATAACTTCTGGTAAAGGGAGTATTGGTTTGGGTTGCTAAGCTGTGGTCTTGCGTATCTCTTTGTCTCTAAAGAGTAGGTTAATAGCATTTGGGTGGGCGAATATGGATAGGCAATATGTTAGGAAGCATATATGCCAGGCCCAGGACAAAAGGTCAGACACAGCAAGTCGATTAAACTTGGGAGTGGGTTGAGAGCACACGGGTGGGGATGATTAACAGATATTGCAGGAGGTCGAAAGGTCGGTCACAGGAAATGGAAGAAACATGAAGGTCATGAGAACCATAAATACTTATTGAAAGTCTGAAATATCCGATTTTTTTCTATGTCTCTAAGGTCACTGTGTCAGTAAACGGCATACCATCCACCTGTCACCATGGTGACTGCACGTTCCACTACACAGCCGTTTCCATGCCAACAGTCACTGCAGTGGACCCTTCATCAGGTGAGGATTTCCATTGCCTAAGTGCAATAATTATATTTCCCTAAACGCCTGCACTGATGCCGTATGCTGGCAACTTGTAATCTCCATATATAAGCAGATTCCTTTCGGTGGCAAGGCAGTATCCATTGGCCAGAGGAGTTTGCACTGGTGGCTAATGGACACTTCTCTGGCCAATGGATGCTGCCCTGCCACCATATGATCTGCTTGGAGACTAGGCAACTTGTTTATAAGCGTTTAAGTCACTATAGGTCTTTGAGTATGTCTACCCTAATATCTTTTAATTATAATGTAATGATATTATAAAAACAAATGTACTTTTTCATATTTTTGTAAGAGGCTATCAACGTTTGCATGTCCATTGGCAGGGTCGGTTGGTGAAGAGATAGAAATCACCGGGTCTGGATTTTCAAACGATGCAGACATGATAAACGTCACGGTGGGTGACGTCACCTGTGACGTGGTCTCCATGACGACCACCGGCGTCAGGTGCATCGTCCGGATGATGACGTCAGGCGGCGTCCACCCTGTTGTTGTTTACGTCCATCCCCATGGTAACGCTGTAAACACGCAGGGACCTGTGACGTTTACATACAACGTTAGCCTTACAAGGATTCAGCCTACCAGAGGTAGCACTGCTGGTACGTTACGTTACTTTACGTTACGTTCATCAGACATATCTTAGTTCGTAGTGGAAAGTGTAAGAATATCTTATTGGCAATATATTTTGATCGTTTTTCTGAAAGCGTTTACAATACAGTAAATCATCTTCCATTCACACCTGATCATTTCTCTTCAGATTCGACAATCGCAGGGCTCTATAGCTATTGACTCCATGACTAACTATACAACCATATTTCATAAACACAGGTGGCACACTTCTGACTCTGTACGGGACTGGTATAAACAGCGCCACAGTGCGAGTTGGAAACCGACTGTGCATCTCCATCAGTACGTCTAATTCCGAGCCTGGCATAATACAGTGCAGAACACCAGCCATGGTTAGTATTGTTATTTTTTTTCCAAATACTAGCCTCTACCAGGCTTGGGAAAGAGTTGAAATTGGCCAGGTAGAAAGATAAGATGCCAGGGGAGTTGGTCCGCTAGAGAGTAAAGTTTGCTGCTTCCAACGGACCAACTCGGCTTGATATATTTTTTTTTACCCAATTTCTACTATTTCTAGCCTCCTCACGAAGCCTGGTATAGGCTATCCAAATACATCAATTTCTTCTTTTGCATCTGGGAACTGACTTAACCGCGATATTTTCTCTTCCAGCTGGATAATGTTGAAGCCGTGGCCAATGTCACCGTGGAGGTCGGTGGAGTCAGCGGCATGTTGGAAGGCTCATTTACATACGACCCTGCCATCACTCCTGTCGTCACGGTTGCAATGCCAACGAATGTCTCCGTAGCAGGTGAGTAATTGCACACATACAACGAAACACATGCACAAACACGTATACTGACAAAATGTAATACTATGACATGGGACTATATAATATTCACTTATACTATTTTCTCCAGGTGGCGATGTTTTGCAGGTAAAGGGCTCGTCATTTGGAAGCAACGATTCTCTCATATCTATGACGGTTGGGTCGAGCATATGTGAGATAGAGGGGCAAGTCACCGACAACAACATTACATGTATCCTTCCGCCGCTACCGTCGGGGCAATACCCGGTACTACTTCACGTGGATAACATTGGGTACGCTTATAGCAGGTAAGTGCTTTAAGAAAATAATTCTAAATTGCTAACTCCTACTATTCGGTCCAGTTTTAAAAATGCCCGAAATTACATAGCTATACCGGACCAAAACTTGGTTCAAGCTGGTACATGCGTTTTCTAACACACAGTTCTTTTTATCTAGCGCGCCTTTGGTGATAGAATACATCTTCAGGGTGGACAACATTGACCCTTTGGAAGGCTCCTTGGCAGGTATAAGTTTAACGTTAGCTGCAGATTAAACATATGAGTGTTAAATACTGTTACAAGTAATCGCGAGGAGAAGTTTAAGGCATTGGTATTTTACTTAAGTATATAAGTATACTCTTATACTTAGAATAAAGGTCTTGTATAACAATTATTCTCTCCATGTCTGTTAACAGGTGGAACTGTACTAAACATAACCGGCGAAGGGTTCCCAACAAACGTGTCTGCAGTTGATGTGAAAGTCGGGCCTGTGTCGTGCGACGTTCGGGAGATATCTGAGAACATACTGGTGTGTGTAACTCAACCGTACGCCAGGACGCACCATGTGAGGAATGCCGGTAAGTAGCAAACTCGATGTCCATCTCAATTAGCAGTTCAACGAATGATAACATATCGACTAATGATTCGACCAATGAAAGACTGGTGGTATGTCCACTAAATGTTAGCATGTCTACGTTTTGATGGAGGAGTGTTAGGCAATGAGTTAGGTCTTTTTTCCTAGAACTATGATCGTAGTGGTTCTCGTTGCCACCAAGTACAGTCGGGTCAAACTCACTATGATGGTTTTAATCAAGACTGACACTAAGATGCGCAAAGGGTAGGCGTAAAAAGTCGTTTAGTGTAATAGCTAGCCTATTAGAATGTGGAACAGTTATGCTTTAACAATTACTTTTTCAATCTTCTAACATTTTCTTTTACACCTTCAGTTCGTGCATCCGAGTTGGCGTGGGAGCCAGAGGTAGTGGAGTGTAAGACTGGTGACATAGTGCAGTGGCACTGGTCTCCGCTAGAGGGACTAGCTGATCTTTCCCATGGAACACACAGGATCTCTCTCGCCAACGTGACGGAAAGCCGTGAGATCGTGGTGTTTGAAAATTCGTCTATCACAGGTATATGTTGATTGCTGTGAAGAATATGTGTAATATGTAAGAAAATGTTTAAAGGTATAAGTACTACGTTCTTAAAGTCATTCATCTGGGAAAAGATAATTCTATATGGTACATAATGCATTATATAATGTAGAGCTTTATAAATACAGACCAGGGTTTACTGTATAGTTAGTGTATCACTACGTCCATAGATTTTTTATAACTCAGCCATACAATACTTCGTAATACTAATAGTCATAGTACTTTCTGTTGCTACCAGGAACGTTCACATTCAAGTTGACCACTTCTGGAATCTACATCTATGAAAGTGAGTTGACGGGATTACTGGATAACATCGTCCTAAACAGTACAGTCATCGTCACGGGCAGAACGGAAGAAACTGAGGAAGTACAGGTATCTTTCAATGGGATTGTGGCAGACAGCATATCCGGTAAGTTTCACGTACATTTGTTTCTTTTCCTCTTGTCTCTGGATAGACTGTGATGCAGGATTCTGTGTGATCATGAGTCAATATGTTTATTCGTTTGCTCGGTAGTTTTTATCATTAAAAACAGGTCACCTCACTAATTTCTAACTTTGGTATCAAAATCTAAAAAAAAATACCCCCAATGACTACCAAATGATCTATTCTACCACGCTAACATTACGTGGACCATTGTTGGCTTGGTTACCACTAATAAACGTAAAATTTAACCCATCTAACAAGCAAATGTATTCTGTTTTAGGCATATTCAACTATACATTTACCGACAGCCAGACGCCTGTAATTACACACGTAAGCCCGCTGGAGGGCGCTGCAGGAACGGAGGTTGTCCTGCGCGGGAAACATTTCAGCACCGCGGCCGGCGACAACCGGGTTCACATCGGGCGGCACAGATGTAACGTCACCACTGTTAGCGAGGGAAAGATCGTCTGTGTCATTAGTGATCAGGTAAGTCTTTATTATTTAGTCTTAATTACCTCTAATACAAAGGTTATTATACATGGGAAACAGTTCAGCACCACGGCCGGAGACAACCGGGTTCACATCGGGGAGTACAGATGTAACGTCACTACTGCCAGCGAGGCAAAGATTGTGTGTATCATCAGTGATCAGGTAAGTCTTTATTATTTAGTCTTAATTACCTCTAATACAAAGGTTATTATACATGGGAAACAGTTCAGCCCCACGGCCGGCGACAACCGGGTTCACATCGGGCGGTACAGATGTAACGTCACCACTGCCAGCGAGGCAAAGATCGTCTGTGTCACCAGCGAGCAAGTAAGTAATTTAGTATTCATTACCTCTGATACAGAGGTTGTCAAGTGGGAAGTGTTTTCCTGCGCGGAAAACACTTCAGCACCACGGCCGGAGACAACCGGGTTCACATCGGGCGGCACAGATGTAACGTCACCACTGCCAGCGAGGCAAAGATCGTCTGTGTCATTAGTGATCAGGTAAGTCTTTATTATTTAGTCTTAATTACCTCTCATACAAAGGTTATTATACATGGGAAACAGTTCAGCACTACGGCCGGCGACAACCGGGTTCACATCGGGGAGCACAGATGTAACGTCACTACTGCCAGCGAGGCAAAGATTGTGTGTATCATCAGTGATCAGGTAAGTCTTTATTATTTAGTCTTAATTACCTCTCATACAAAGGTTATTATACATGGGAAACACTTCAGCACCGCGGCCGGCGACAACCGGGTTCACATCGGGCGGCACAGATGTAACGTCACCACTGCCAGCGAGGCAAAGATTGTTTGTGTCATCAGCGATCAGGTATGAATTTCAAATTCTACTAATGCTACTAAAATTTGTTTTGGTTAGATGTTTTAGGACATCGGTTGGTTTTTCATTTACTCCAGTTTGAGTTTAAAAAAAGGGTGCATTTTATCATTATAGACTTGTATCGTAAGTCATTCCGTCTATCTTTAGTTGAGACTAAAATACCTCTTTCTTTTATGTTTGTATGAATGACTGAGTTATTTTAAGTTGATCACTTCCAATGTATTTTATAGATACAACCAGTCAAAATATTAGTAAAGATAGACATATAGAAGTCACACATTCCACCATGTTCCGCACTAATTTGTAGTGCCATGATTGCCTAAATCTGAAATTCTTGCAGGAACGATTGCCCACAGGATCAAGTCTACCGATTTCTGTAAACGTCAATAATCGTGGCAACGCAGCAATTTTGGAAGAATACGCGTCATTTCTAGTCGTCCCTGTCATCACAAGCCTGGCACCATCTTCTGGATCTGTCGCTGGTGGAACACTAGTCTCCATATTTGGCACCGGATTTCGCAAGGACGGGTATGAGACCCAAGTCCTCATAGGAGGAGAACACCAGTGCGAGATCCGCGAACTATCATACACACACATAGTCTGTCAAACAGCCTCCGGTGTCATTGAAACTTCAAACAGCTCAGAAACGTTCCAGGTATCTGTTGTTGTAGACGGTGCAGAAGCCATATGTCTGACAGACTGTGATTTCCAGTACAGTTGGGAAGATCTTCCGGTCATTGATGAAGTGCGAGCAGACACATTTTGGATAGACTTGACAGCAATTGATGACTTAGCATTAAACACTACGGAGAATGCAGGGTTACGACGTACAGCCGCTGTTACAGATTTGACGTCGGCTGTACAAAATACAACGCAGGTGGATACATCTAACGTAACGATGGAAGAAGCAAGCACGGAAGCGCCTGATACAACATCTGATGCAACATCTGTCACAACACCTGCCGCAGCACCTGTCACAACACCTGGAAATGCACCTGGCACTACACCTTATACCACACCCTTCACTAGACTGCAAAATACAACGAACACTACACCTATTTCTACAGTACGACTACTATAAACTCTAATGAAACGCTAGGGGCTACGGTTGAAAATGCATCTAGTGCTACCGCTTCACCGGTATCTGCCAATCCATTGAGCACAGACCATGGACCAATGTCTGAGGTGACTGTTACAGCATTCACTGAAGCAACGGATGAGGTATATGTTACGGAAGCGACATCCTCCCCGGGCCTGGCACGAATCCCATGCCAACAAACACAACGTTAAATGAGAATTCAACCACAGATGCGGCAACAACAGGCATCACAGATACAGGGGTAGTTAGTAACTTTACAACAGATTCAAATAACGGGAACTTGACAATGTCACCGACAGACATACTAGAAAGTCAGGCAGTGCCACTCGCAGCCACTACAGTGCTTTCCAGTACTTCTCCATATTCCCCGGAAAACATGTCCATACTGGGACTAACCACAGTACCCACATCAACAATGGCTACGGTATCGAACAGCACAGCTGAGACGCCGCCATATTGGAGGACAGAGGTCACAGTCGTCGGGTCAAATTTCCCGGACGAAATGACGTCAGTGACCATAACTGTAGGAGACCATCCTTGCAACATCCGGTCTTTGTCCAAACACGTTGTAACATGTTGGCTCACCAACGCTACTGCCGGTCACCATACAGTAACTGT